GGGGCCGCGGGGACCCCCGGGGGAGCCGGGCCGGCCGGGCCCGCCGGGACCCCCGGGGCCGGGCCCGGGCGGGTACATCCCGTCCTTCTACAGCCCCAAAATCGCTTTCTACGCCGGCCTGAGGAAGCCGCACGAGGGCTACGAGGTGCTGCGCTTCGACGACGTGGTGACCAACGTGGGCAACTACTACGAGCCCTCGAGCGGCAAATTCACCTGCCCCCTGCCCGGCATCTACTTCTTCACCTACCACGTCCTGATGCGCGGCGGCGACGGCACCAGCATGTGGGCCGACCTGATGAAGAACGGGCAGGTAACGGGACCCCCGCGGGACCCCCAGCCCGGTTTTAGCCCCGCTTTGCACCCCATCCCACCCCATCCCAGCCCCATCCCTGTCCCCTCCTGTCCCCCTCCCCGTGCCCATCCCGTCCCCTCCCCGTCCCCTCCCCGGTGCTCCCGGCTCAGCGGGCGGCCTCCCGCCGTCTCCGCCGCTCGCCACCATCGCTCCCAAGGGCGACGAGGACCTGCTGGCGCTGGCCGCGTCGCGGCTGAGCCGCAGGAAGCGGGTGGCCGGCGTGGCCATCGGCGTGGCCATGCTGCTGCTGCTGCTGGTGGCCATCCCGCTGCTCGTGCACGGCTCCAAGGCGGCCGCGCACTACGAGATGCTGGGCAGCTGCCGCATGGTCTGCGACCCCTACCCCGAGCTGCCCCCCGCCTCGCCGCCGCCCTTCCTGCCCGGGGCCAAGGGCGAGCCGGGCCGCAAGGGCCGCGCCGGCCTCCGCGGGCCACCGGGGCCACCGGGGCCGCACGTCCTGATGCGCGGCGGCGACGGCACCAGCATGTGGGCCGACCTGATGAAGAACGGGCAGGTAACGGGACCCCCGCGGGACCCCCAGCCCGGTTTTAGCCCCGCTTTGCAGCCCCGGGTTTGGTTTTCAACCCTGATTTTCACTGCCTGGTTGGTAGCCCCGGGTTTGGTTCTCATCCCTCGGTTTGCACCCCCTGGTTTTCAGCCGTGATTTTTTGAGATTTTTATCGCTGCTTTTCAGCCCCGCGGGTTTCAGTCCCGGTTTTCACCCCCCCCCTCCCCAATTTTCACTCTCCGGTTTTCAGCCCCTGTTTTCATCCCTGGTTTTCATCCCCCGCTTTTCACTCCCTGGTTTTCGGGCTCGTTTTTCACCCCCCCTCGAGCCCCCAGCCAGGTTTTCCTCCTCTGGTTTTCACCTCTGGTTTTCACTCCCTGGTTTTCAGGCTCGATTTTCACCCCCCCGAGCCCCCAGCCCGGTTTTCAGCCCCCGGTTTTCTCCCCTGGTTTTCACCCCTGGTTTTCACCTCTGGTTTTCACTCCCCGGTTTTCAGCCCCCAGCTTTCACCTCCCGGTTTTCACTCCCGGTTTTCACCCCTGGTTTTCACCCCTGGTTTTCACCTCTGCTTTTCACCCCCCAGTTTTCTCCCCCTGCTTTTCACTCCTCGGTTTTCATTCCCTGCTTTTCACTCCCCGTTTATTTATTTTTTTTTTCCAGCAGCCTCGGGGTTGTTGTTTTGGCCCTCGGTGGTTTCGCTGTTTTGGTTTGGGTGGTTTTAGGTTCTCATCCGGGTTCAATCCCTTCGTGATTTCCCATCCTCGGTTCTGCTCCTTCCCAAATCCCCACATCCAACCCCCCCAAATTCCCATCCTGCTTCCCCCATCCCTCATTCCCCATCCCCGGTCCCACATCCCATTTCCCCCATCCAACCCCCCCAAATTCCCATCCTGCTTCCCCCATCCCTGATTTCTCATTCTCACATCCCATTTCTCCCATCCAATTCCCTCCCAAATTCCCACCCCATCCCCTCCATCCCTGATTCACCCACCCCAGCAGCCCCATGCCCATTTTCTCCATCCCATTTCCCCCATCCCTTTCCCCCATCCTCCACCCTCCTCTCCCCATCCCTGAGTTCCCATTCCCATTTTCTCCGTCCCAGTCCCCATCCTGCTTCCCCAATCCCTGATTTCCCATTTTCTCCATCCCATTTCCCCCATCCCAAACCCCAAATCCCCAAAATTCTCTCCCCATCCCTGATTTCCCATTCCCGTTTTCTCCATCCCAAACCCCCACATCCCATTTCCCCCATCCAAACCCCCTTTTAAATTCCCACAAAACCCCTCATTTCCATCCTCCTTTCCCCATTCCCTGATTCCCCATCCCCAGTTCTGTTCCTTCCCAGTCCCACGTCCCATTTTCCTCATCCAATTCTCTCCCAAATTCCCATTATTTCCTCCCATTCCTGTTTCCCCATTCCCACATCCCATTTTCCTCATCCAATCCTGCCCAAATTCCCTTTATTTTCCCCCATCCAATCCTCCCCAAATTCCCATAATTTTTCCCCATTCCTGATTTACCTGATCCCATTTCCCCCATCCAATCCTGCCCCAAATTCCCATAATTTCCCCCCCAAATTCCCATCATTTTCCCCCAAAATTCCCACCCTTTTCCCCCAAATTCCCACAATTCCCCCCCAAAATTCCCACCCTTTCCCCCCCCCAAAATTCCCATCATTTCCCCCCCAAATTCCCCCCCTTTTCCCCCCAAATTCCCATAATATCTCCCCAAATTCCCACCCTTTGCCTCCCCAAATTTCCATAATTTTCATCCCAAATTCCCATCTTTCTTCCCCCAAATTCCCAATCTTTCCCCCCCAAATTCCCATCATTTTCCCCCCAAATTCCCACCCTTTTCTCCCCAAATTCCTATAATTTCACCCCCAAATTCCCACAATTTCTCCCCAAATTCCCATCTTTCTCCCCCCAAATTCCCACCCTTTTCCCCCCCAAATTCCCATCCTTTTTTCCCCCCAAATTCTCACCCTTTCCCCCCCAAATTCCCATCTTTCTCCCCCCAAATTCCCACCCTTTTCCCCCCCAAATTCCCATCCTGGGAATTTGGGGGGATTGGATGGGGATGGGAATTTGGGGGGGATTTGATGCAGGAATTGGGATCTGGGGCCTTGGGAGGGACCAGAATTGGGGAATCAGGAAAGGAGCAGAGGACGGGAATGGGGGGGACTGGGCAGGTGGGGCAGTGAGGGGGGGGTGGCAGCCGTGTCCCCCCCAGGTGTGGGCCTTGGGGACAGTGGGGCCTTGGGGACAGCGGGGCCTTGGGGACAGCCCCACCTTGGGGACAGCCCCACCTTGACCGGGGGGTCCTGCCGGGCTCATCCCCCATTCCCCCACCTCGGGGAGAGGAGTGGGTGACAGGCGGGGACAGTGCCAGGCAGGGTGGGTGACACATGGGGTCAGTGCCAGGCGGGGTCAGTGCCAGGTAGGGCAGGTGACAGCCCTGTCCCCCACTGCCAGGTGGGGTCCCACTGATGTCACCCCCATTCCCTCCCTTGGAGGGGGGGTGAGTGCCAGGTGGGATGGGTGACATGTGAGGTGGGTGACACACGGTGTCAGTGCCACGCGGGATGGGTGACATGCGGTGTCAGTGACACACGGGGTCGGTGCCAGCCCTGTCCCCCCTGGCAGGTGGGGTGGGTGACACACGGGGTCGGTGCCATGCAGGGCCGGTGCCAGGTTGGGTGGGTGACACACGGGGTCGGTGCCAGGCGGGGCCGGTGCCAGGCGGGGCTGGTGCCAGCCCTGTGCCCCCCGGCAGGTTGGGTGGGTGACACACGGGGTCGGTGCCAGCCCCGTGCCCCCCGGCAGGTTGGGTGGGTCACACACGGGGTCAGTGACACACGGGGCCGGTGCCAGGCGGGGCCGGTGCCAGGTTGGGTGGGTCACACACGGGGTCGGTGCCAGCCCTGTGCCCCCCGGCAGGTTGGGTGGGTCACACACGGGGTCCGTCACACACGGGGCCGGTGCCAGCCCTGTGCCCCCGCAGGTCCGTGCCAGCGCCATCGCGCAGGACGCCGACCAGAACTACGACTACGCGAGCAACAGCGTCATCCTGCACCTGGACGTGGGCGACGAGGTGTGCGTCAAGCTGGACGGGGGCAAGGTGCACGGCGGCAACACCAACAAGTACAGCACCTTCTCCGGCTTCATCATCTACCCCGACTGACCCCCGGGACCCCCCGGGACCCCCCCGGAAACGGGACCCCCCCGGAACCGGGACCCCCGGGACAGCCCCGGAATGGGGAACCCCCCCGGGACCCCCGGGATCCCGTCCGACCCCCGAGCTCAGCACCTTCTCCGGCTTCATCATCCACCCCGACTGACCCAGGACCCCCCCGGGGTACCGAGACCACCGGGACCCCCCCGGGACCACCGGGACCCCCCCCGGGGCACCGGGAACCGGGATCCCGTCCGACCCCCGAGCTCAGCACCTTCTCCGGCTTCATCATCCCCCCTGACTGACCCCCCCGGGACCACCGGGACCCCCCCGGGGCACCGGGACACCCCCGCGACCCGGGGTGACCCCCAGCCCAGCAGCTGCTCCGGCCCCAGCTCTGCCCCGAGTGACCCCCGGGACCCCCCGGGACCCCCCCGGGACCGCCGGTGACAGCGCTGACACCCCCGGGACCCCCCTGCGCTGGCACGGGGGGGCAGCGGAGCCTGAGGGACACAGCAACCCCGGCCTGTCCCCTCATTGTCACCATCGGCCCTGGCCCCACATTGTCACCACCCAGCCACGGCCGTGTCCCCAGCCCTGTCCCTGTCCCCAGCTTGTCACCATCCTCATCCTCATCCCTGTCCCTGTTCTGTCCCCATCCCCATCCCCATCCCTGTCCCCTCCTGTCCCCGTCCCTGTCCCCTCCTGTCCCCATCCCCATCCCTGTCCCCTCCTGTCCCTGTCCCCTCCTGTCCCTGTCCCCATCCCCATCCCTGTCCCCGTCCCTGTCCCCTCCTGTCCCTGTCCCCTCCTGTCCGTGTCGCTGTCGCCACCTCGTGGCCGCAGCCGGGAGGGCTCGGGAAGGATTTTGGGGAGGGGGCTCAGCCCCGCCGGGACCCCCCAGAGAGAGGGACCCCGTCCCTGAATGTCCCTGAATGTCCCCAGAGCCACGGCCAGGGACCCCCCCCCATGCCGGGGTCCCCCCTCCCCAAACCCGGGACCCCCCAAAGACCCCGGAGCCCCTCGGAGCCGTCTCTGCTTTATTCCAGGGACTGGTACAAAATGGGGGGGGTCGGGATTTTGGGGAGGGGGCTGCACCCCCTAACCCCCACCGCGGGGATTTGGGGAGGGGGCTGCACCCCCAAACCCCCACCGCGGGGTTTTGGGGAGGGGGCTACGCCTTGGCCCCCCCCGGGACCCCCTGGGCCGCCGTCAGCTGCTGCAGCTTCTGCGTCATCATCTCCAGCACGGCTGGGGGGAGCGGGTCAGGGCACCCCAAAAACGGGGAGGGGTCAGGGGGGCGTGGGGGGAACCCCGGGAGGGGGAAAAGGGGACCCCAAAACCAGGGAGGGACCCCGGGAGGGGGGAAAGGGGACCCCAAAATCACGGAGGGGTTTGGGGGGGTCCTGAAAGTGGGGAGGGGTCTGGGGGGTTAATAAAAATGGGGTGGGAAATGGGGTGGGAATGGGAGAAAATGGGGAAAAGCAGGGAAAATTCAGAAAAATGGGGTGGGAATGGGAGAAAATGGGGAAAAGCAGGGAAAATTCAGAAAAATGGGGTGGGAATGGGAGAAAATGGGGAAAATGAGAGGAAAATTAATAAAAATGGGGTGGGAAATGGGGGAAATGAAGGAAAAACGGGGTGAGAAGAAGAAATGGGGTGAGAAAACGAGGAAATGGGGACACAGAAAGGGCTGAAAGGAGGCAAAAACCGGAGCAAAGAGGGGTGGGGGAGGGGGGAAAGGGGTGGACATGGGGGTCCCCAGCCCCCCACGCCCCCTGCCCACCTTCTCCACGTAGTAGCCGGTGCCCACGTCCACCAGCACCGTGCTGACGTCCTGCAGCTTGCCTGGCACGTACATCTGGGGGGTCAGGGAAAACGGGGGGCACGGGGGGCACGGGGGGCACCCACCCCCCACGGGGGGTCCCGGGGGTCCCGGGGGCAGCACAAGGATACGGAGCTGGTGAGAGGCACCAGGAGATCCTTGCCTGTGGAAAGAGGGGGGTCAGGATACCCCAAAAGCAGCCCAAACGTCCCACGGGGTCTGATTGGGTTTGGGGGTTCCCCGGCGGGGATTTGGGAGCCACCCCTGGGTTTGGGGGACCCCCATCAGGATTTGGGGCTCCCCCCCCAAGATTTGGGGTTTGGGAGCCACCCCTGGGTTTGGGGAAACCCATCAGGATTTGGGGCTCCCCCATTAGGATTTGGGGTTTAAGATCCAGCCCTGGTTTTGGGGATCCCCACCAGGATTTGGGGTTTAAGATCCAGCCCTGGTTTTTGGGGATCCCCCCAAGATTTGGGGCTCCCCAAGGTCCCTCTGGTTTTGGGGCTCCCCACCAGGATTTGGGGTTTAGGAACCATCCCTGGTTTTTGGGGATCCCCACCAGGATTTGGGGCTCCCCAAGGTCCCTCTGGTTTTGGGGCTCCCCACCAGGATTTGGGGTTTAGGAACCATCCCTGGTTTGGGGATCCCCAATAGGATTTGGGGTTTAGGAACCATCCCTATTTTTGGGGCTCCCCCATCAGGATTTTGGGGTTTAGGATCCACCCCTGGTTTTAAGGATCTCCATCAGGATCTGGGGTTTAGGAACCACTCCTGGTTTTGGGGACCCCCTCTGGGTTTGGAGACCCCCCCCCATTAAGATTTTGGGGTTTGGGAGCCACCCCTGGGTTTGGGGAAACCCATCAGGATTTGGGGCTCCCCCATTAGGATTTGGGGTTTAAGATCCAGCCCTGGTTTTTGGGGATCCCCCCAAGATTTGGGGCTCCCCAAGGTCCCTCTGGTTTTGGGGCTCCCCACCAGGATTTGGGGTTTAGGAACCATCTCTATTTTTGTGGCTCCCCCATCAGGATTTTGGGGTTTAGGATCCACCCCTGGTTTTAAGGATCTCCATCAGGATCTGGGGTTTAGGAACCACTCCTGGTTTTGGGGACCCCCTCTGGGTTTGGAGACCCCCCCCATTAAGATTTGGGGACCCCCCTTAGGTTTGAGGACCCCCCTCAGGGTTCAGGGCTCCTGTGGGACCCTCCCCAGAGCTTCTGACCCCCCCCAGGTTTTGGGGGATCTCTGCCATAATTTAGGACCCCCCATCAATACTTGGGGCCCCCCTGGATTTCGGGGACCCCCTCTGAGGATTTGGGACCCCCCAATCCAAATTTGTGCAACTCATGGAGCCCCCACAGCATTTATCCCCCCCCATCACAATTTGGGGACCCTCCCCCAGATTTTAAAGCCCTGGCTGCGGATTTGGGGGTTTTGGGGACCCCCCGGGGGGGATTTGGGGTTTTTTGGGGTGCCTCACCCTCGTTGCCCTTGTGCAGCACGTTTTGGGGGTTTTTTGGGGTTTTTTTGGGGTTTTTTGGGGTTTTTGGGGTGCCTCACCCTCGTTGCCCTTGTGCAGCACGTTTTGGGGTTTTTTTGGGGGTTTTTTGGGGTGCCTCACCCTCGTTGCCCTTGTGCAGCACGTTTTGGGGTTTTTTTGGGGGTTTTTTGGGGTTTTTTGGGGTGCCTCACCCTCGTTGCCCTTGTGCAGCACGTTTTGGGGTTTTTTTGGGGGTTTTTTGGGGTGCCTCACCCTCGTTGCCCTTGTGCAGCACGTTCAGGCACTCCCATCAGGATTTTGGGGTTTAGGATCCACCCCTGGTTTTAAGGATCTCCATCAGGATCTGGGGTTTAGGAACCACTCCTGGTTTTGGGGACCCCCTCTGGGTTTGGAGACCCCCCCCATTAAGATTTGGGGACCCCCCTTAGGTTTGAGGACCCCCCTCAGGGTTCAGGGCTCCCATCAAGATCTGGGGACCCTCCCCAGAGCTTCTGACCCCCCCCCAGGTTTTGGGGGATCTCTGCCATAATTTAGGACCCCCCATCAATACTTGGGGCCCCCCTGGATTTCGGGGACCCCCTCTGAGGATTTGGGACCCCCCAATCCAAATTTGTGCAACTCATGGAGCCCCCACAGCATTTATCCCCCCCCATCACAATTTGGGGACCCTCCCCCAGATTTTAAAGCCCTGGCTGCGGATTTGGGGGTTTTGGGGACCCCCCGGGGGGGATTTGGGGTTTTTTGGGGTGCCTCACCCTCGTTGCCCTTGTGCAGCACGTTTTGGGGGTTTTTTGGGGTTTTTTTGGGGTTTTTTGGGGTTTTTGGGGTGCCTCACCCTCGTTGCCCTTGTGCAGCACGTTCAGGCACTCCTTGGCCTCCACGAACTTGGTCTGCACCACCTTGAGCTGCGCCAGGGACGAGGACAGGAACTCCACCTCCTGCGGGGTTTTGGGGGTTCGGGGGGGTCCCCAGCGCCGGGGGGAGAGCCCCGAGGTGGGGATTTGGGGAGGGGGTCCCCAGGGGGAGACCCCCAGGGCTGGGAATGGCCCCAAAGGGATGAGGAGGAAGAGACGCTTTTTATTGGGGAGGGGTCCTTGAAATTGGGGTGGGTGTCAAGGGTGGGGGGCACCCAGGGGCTCTGCGACCCTCCCCAAACCCCAGAGACCCCCAGACACCCCCAAACTCCCCTCCAGCCCACCCAAGCTGCGACCCCCAGGCCTGGGGACCCCCAAAGCCCCCCAGACACCCCCAAATTCCCCCCCAGCCCTGCCCCAGCTCACCCGTGAGCCCGCCCCCTGGCGGCTTGGAGGACTGGGGGGCGGTCTAGTGCCCCCCCCAAGGAAAAGAGGAGTTTGGAGGGATTTTTGGGGGGTCCAGGAGAAATGTGGGGGGTCCCAGAAAGACTCAGGAGAGGGAAGTGCAGAGGCAGCAGCTTTATTGTTGCAAAACAGGCGAATAAAACCAAATTTCGTTAAAAATTTTGTTAAAATTTTGTTAAAATTTCATTAAAATGAAGGCAGTTCCAACCCTCCCCTTTCCTTCAGACACCCCAAAAATCCCCGCGGGGGTGGGAGCCCCAAAAGCGTCACCAGAGGTAATGGGGGACCCCAAAAGTAACAAATGGGGGCCCCAAAGGCCACAAGTGGATCCCAAAAGGGATGGGGGACCCCCAGTTCTCCCCTATAAATAACGGGGGGACCCCAAAAACAACTGGAGTCCCCCCAGAAATTCACTCCAGGCAATGAGAGAACCCTAAATCCTCACTCCAAGCAATGGGGGAACCCCAAAGATGCCAAAGGGACCCCAAACCTTTAGTCCAGGCCATGGGGGGACCCCAAACCTTCACCCCAGGGCAGCCCCTGGGGACCCCAAAGATGCCAAAGGGACCCCAAACCTTTAGTCCAGGCCATGGGGGGACCCCAAACCTTCACCCCAGGGCAGCCCCTGGGGACCCCAAAGATGACAAAGGGACCCCAAAGATGACAAAAGGACCCCAAACCTTCACTCCAGGGCAGCTCTGGGCCATGGGGAAACCCCAAAGATGCCAACGGGACCCCAAATCCTCACCCCAGGCAATGGGGGAACCCCAAAGAGACCCCAAAGATGCCAAATGGCCCCAAACTCTCACTGCAGGCAGTGGGGGAACCCCAAAGGGACCCCAAACCCTCACCCCAGGCAACGGGGGACCCCAAAGATGCCAAAGGGACCCCAAATCCTCACTCCAAGCCATGGGGGAGCCCCAAAGGGACCCCAAACCCTCACCCCAGGCAACGGGGGACCCCAAAGATGCCAAAGGGACCCCAAATCCTCACTCCAAGCCATGGGGGAGCCCCAAAGGGACCCCAAACCTTCACTCCGAGCCATGGGGGAGCCCCAAAGGGACCCCAAACCTTCACTCCGAGCCATGGGGGAGCCCCCAAAGCCCCCAGGGCCCCCCCAAGCGTGGCCCCCCTCAGCAGAGGCTGACCGGGAGCCCGTAGGCCACGGGGGCGGCCCCGATGAGGGATTTGAGGCGGGGGGCTTGGCGGGCCTGGGCCAGCTGGGCCAGCAGGGGGGTCCCGGGGCCGCCCCCCAGCCAGCCCCGCAGCAGCGCCTGCGCCAGCCGGTCCAGGTCCCGGTCCGTGACATCCCACAGGTTCCCCAGCACCAGAGGGCTGAAAACGGGGGGGACACCCCCAAACGGGGCCGTGAGACCCCAAAAACAGAGAGGGACACCCCAAAACCAGAGAGAGACACCCCAAATACAGAGAGAGACACCCCAAAACCAGAGAGACACCCCAAATACAGAGAGACCCCAAAACCAGAGAGAGACACCCCAAATACAGAGAGACACCCCAAAACCAGAGAGAGATACCCCAAACAGAGAGATCCACCCCAAAATGGAGCTGTGAGCAGAGGGAGAGACCCAAAAAGTAAAGAAGCACCACAAAATCCGAGTCCCAAACCCCCAAAACCACCCCAAATCCCAGAGCTCCAAATCCCCAAAGCCATCCCAAAACCTCCCCAAATCCCAGAGCTCCAAATCCCCAAAGCCATCCCAAAACCTCCCCAAATCCCAGAGCTCCAAATCCCCCCACGAAATCCCAGAGCCCCCAGAACCCTCCAGAGTTCCCCAACCCAAAACCCCCAAACCCCCAATCCCAAACCCCTGCACCCCAAACTCCAAATCCCCAAACCCCAAACCTTCAAATCCCAAACCCCAAATCCCAAGCCCAGCCCCTGACTCACCACCCGGCCAGGACGAACTTGAGGACGGTGCCCGAGGGCTCGAGGGGCCCCCGCGGGGCCAGGGCGGCGCTGGAGCAGCCGAAGAGCAGCGCCACGGCCCGGCAGGGCAGGCGTGCCAGGCTCTGCCCGTCCAGGAGCCGAGCCCCGGCCCCGTGCCCGGCGTAGCTGCAGGAGCAAACCCCAAATCTGACCCTAAATCTGACCCCAAACCCAGGCGTGGCAGGCTCTGCCCCGTGCCCGGCGTAGCTGCAGGAGCAAACCCCAAAATCAGCCCCAAAACCGACCCCAAACCCAGCCGTGCCAGGCTCTGCCCGTCCAGGAGCCGTGCTCCTGCCCCGTGCCCGGTGTAGCTGCAGGAGCAAACCCCAAAACTGACCCTAAATCTGACCCAAAATCAGCCCCAAATCACCCCAAACCCAGCCGTGCCAGGCTCTGACCCGTGCCCGGCGTAGCTGAGGGGATGGACACCAAAATCAGCCCCAAATCTGACCCCAAATCAGCCCCAAATCTGACCCCAAACCCGGCCGTGCCAGGCTCTGCCCGTCCAGGAGCCGCGCTCCTGCCCCGTGCCCGGCGTAGCTGCAGGAGCAAACCCCAAAATCAACCCCAAATCTGACCCCAAATCAGCCCCAAATCACCCCAAACCCAGCCCTAAAACTGACCCAAATCAGACCCCAAAACCAGCTGGGAATCCACAACCCCCCCCCCCCAAAAATAACCCCAAATCAGCCTCCAAAGCTGACCCCAAAACCAACCCCAAAACCAGCTGGGAGCCCCCAGAAAAGCCCTAAAAAAACCCCTGAATCAGCCCCCAAATTCACTTCTAATCAGCCTCAAATCCGGTCCCAAATCCTCCCAATATCCAACCCCAAATTGGCCCCAAATCCCCCCAAAATCCAGCCCATCATTGGCCCCAAATCCAACCCCAAACCCCCAAACCCAGACCCCCCGACCCTTTTGGGGTTTCTCTCACATGTAGAGGTCGCGCTGCCCCAGCGCCTCCTGCAGCTGCTGCGGGGTCGGCGCCGCCCCCGAGACCCCGCGCCAGCCGGGCTCGCTGGGGAAAACGGGAAAAATGGGGAAAAAATGGGGAAAATGGGAAAAAATGGGGAAAAATACGGGAAAAAATGGGGAAAAAACCGGGAAAAACCAGGAGAAAATGGGGAAAAAAAAGGGGAAAACGGGAAAATCGGGATGGGAGAAGGAAAACGGGGAGAAAGGGGCAGGGTTTGGGGTGCAGAACCCAAAATTCGGGGGAAAAGGGGCAGGGTTTGGGGTGCAGAAACCAAAATTCGGGGGAAAAGGGGCAGGTTTGGGGTGCAGAAACCAAAATTTGGGGGAAAAGGGGCCCTGGAGATTTTGGGGTCCTGGAGGGGATTTTTTGGGATTCTGCGTGATTTTTGGGGTCCTGTAGGGAGTTTTTGGGATCTCGGGGGGTTTTTGGGATTCTGGGGGAATTTTTAGGGTCCAGGGGGTTTTTGGGGGTCCCAGAGGTGTTTCTGGGGGGTCCCGGGGTGTTTTGGGGATCCCAGGGGAGTTTTTGGGGTCTCAGGGGAGTTTTTGGGGGCTTTTTGAGGGTCCCAGGGGGGTTTCTGGGGGTCCTGAAGGGGATTTTTGGGATCCAGGGGTGTTTTTGGGATCTCAGGGGGGTTTTTGGGGTTGCAGTGGGTTTTTTGAGGGTCCCAGGGGTGTTTGGGCAGTTTTTGGGGGTCCCAGGGGTGTTTTTGGGGGGTTTTTGGGATCCCAGGGGTGTTTTTGGGGTTCCAGGGGGTGTTTGGGGTGGTTTTGGGGGTCCCAGTGGTGTTTATGGGGTCCCAGGGGTGTTTCGGGGGGTTTTTGGGGTCGCACCTCTCGAACCAGCCCCGGAACCTCTCCTCGGTGCCGCCCAGGTCCCGCTGGGGGTTCAGCACGTAGAAGGCGTTTTTGGGGTTCACGCCCCGGCTCAGCACCGAGCCCGAGCACTGCGGGGGAACACGGGGACCCCAAATGAGGGACCCCAAACCCTGGGAATGGCAGCCAGGGGTGGCCCAGGTGTGGCCCCAATCCCAGGTGTGCTCCCAATCCCAGGGGTTGTGCCCAATCCCAGGTGTGCTCCCAATCCCAGGGGTTGTGTCCAATCCCAGGTGTGCTCCCAATCCCAGGGGTTGTGCCCAATCCCAGGGGCTGTACCCAATCCCAGGTGTGTCCCAGGTGTGTCCCAGGCGTGTCCCTGTCCCAGGTGTGTCCCAGGCGTGTCCCTGTCCCAGGTGTGTCCCAGGCGTGTCCCTGTCCCAGGTGTGTCCCAGGCGTGTCCCTGTCCCAGGTGTGTCCCAGGCGTGTCCCTGTCCCAGGTGTGTCCCAGGCGTGTCCCTGTCCCAGGTGTGTCCCAGGCGTGTCCCTGTCCCAGGTGTGTCCCAGGCGTGTCCCTGTCCCAGGTGTGTCCCAGGCGTGTCCCTGTCCCAGGTGTGTCCCAGGCGTGTCCCTGTCCCAGGTGTGTCCCAGGCGTGTCCCTGTCCCAGGTGTGTCCCAGGCGTGTCCCTGTCCCAGGTGTGTCCCAGGTGTCCCCAGGTGTGTCCCCATACCTGCCGTGCCAGCCCGTAGCGCAGCAGGAAGCGCAGCCCCGGCAGCCGCGTCACCGGAACGTTCCGCAGGGTCCCGGAGCTCTCCCAGGGCAGCCGCTGCAGGTGCTGGGACAGGGACAGGGACACGGCGTGAGGGACAGGCAGCAGCAGGAGGAAGGGGAGACAAAAAGGATGAGGAAGGGGGGGAAGGAAAAGGAAGGTGAAAAAGAAGAGGAGGAAGAAGATGAGGAAGGGGAGGAAAAGCAAGTGGGGAAAAGGAGAAAGAAGAGAGGAAGAGGAGGAAAAGGAGGAAAGAAGAGGGAGGAGGAGGAAAAAGGAGCAGAAACAGCAGGAGGAGGAGGAGGAGGAAGGGGAGGAAAAGGAAAAGGAAAAGGAAAAGGAAAAGGAAGGTGAAAAAGAAGAGGAGGAAGAAGATGAGGAATGGGAGGAAAAGCAAGTGGGGAAAAGGAGGCAGAGGAGGAAGAGGAAAGAGGAGGAAGGAGGAGGAGGAAAAAGGAAAAGGAGGAGAAAGAACAGGAGGAAGAAGGAAAAAGGAGGAGGAAGAGGAGGAGGAGGAGGAAGAAGAGGAAAGAGGAAGGAGGAGGAGGAAAAAGGAAAAAGAGGAGAAAGAGCAGGAGGAGAAAGAAGGAAAAGGGAGGAGGAAGAGGAGGAGGAAGAAGGAAAATGAAAAGGGAAGTGGGAGTAGGGAGAAGAGGAGGAAGAGGAGGCAAAGGAAGAGAAAGCGGGGATAAGGAGGAGGAAAAGGAGGAGGAAAAGGAGGTGAGGATGAGGAAGGGAGCTGGGGACGAAGGCAGCTCTCACCCTGTCCAGCAGCAGCACCAGGGACCCCGCGCTGCCCCCGGGGCTCTCCCGGCGCCGCTCCAGGGCCTCGTCCAGCAGCAGCCGCGCCCGCAGCGGCCGGGCCGGACACAGCGCTGCGGCCAGCGGCCGGACATCGGCCGGACACAGCGCCCACAGCAGTGCCTGCAGGGGGAGAGGGACAATTCCCAAAATCCGGGATCAGAACCCCAAAATCCGGGATCAGAGCCCCAAAATCCGGGATCAGAGCCCCACTGGACACAGCGCTGCGGCCAGCGGCCGGACATCGGCCGGACACAGCGCCCACAGCAGCGCCTGCAGGGGGGGGAGAGGGACAATTCCCAAAATCTGGGATCAGAGCCCCAAAATCCGGGATCAGAGCCCCAAAACCTGGGATCAGAGCCCCAAAATCTGGGATCAGAACCCCAAAATCTGGGATTAAAACCCCACTGGACACAGCGCTGCGGCCAGCGGCCGGACATCGGCCGGACACAGCGCCCACAGCAGCGCCTGTGGGGGAGAGGGACAGCTCCAGGGGAATTCCCAAATTCCAGGGGCAAAACCCCAAAACCTGGGATCAGCAACCCAAAATGTGGGGCAGAACACAAAATGTGGGGTTAACACCGTAAATTCCAGGGGTAAAGTCCCAAATCCCCAGGATCACCCCCCAAATCCAGGGATCACGCCCCAAATTCTGGGATCATCACCCACAACTTTCAGGGATCAAAACCCCAAAAATCCTGGGATCACCCTCCTGAAATCCAGGGATCAGCACCCGCAGATCAAAGGGTCACCACCCCAAACCCCAAACCCCAACCCCAAACCCCAATCCCGGCCCCATACCCGGAGCAGGGCGGGCTCGGGGCGGTCCCAGCCGCATTCCCGGAGCTCCTGGAGCAGCTGGGACAATTCCTGCTCATCCAGGGGGGAATTCCCGGGATCCCGGGGCAGCAGCAGCCCCCGCCAGCACCCCAAAACCTCCGAGTCCAGGTTCTGGATCAGGCTCTGGGGAAAGACACGCAATGGGAACGGGATCATGACCCCAAAAACGCCGGGAATGCCACGGGAAATCCCACAGGAATCCCTAAAGGAAGCACAGGGGGAATCCCAAAGGGAATCCCAGGAAAAATCCCAAAAGGAATCCCAGGGGGGGTTATGGGGTGGGTCAGGCCTCATTCCCAGGGCTTTTCCCAATATTTGGGGGTTCGGGAAAGTGGGAATCCAAGGGAAAATCCCAAAAGGGAATCCTCCAGGGAATGCCAGGGAGGGTTATGGGGTCGCATCCCCAAGGGTTTTCCTGATATTTGGGTGTTTGGGAAATTTGAGGAATCCCAGAGGAAATCCCACAGGGAATCAGGGAAAATCCCACAAGAATCCCAGGGGGATTTCCAGGGAAAATCCCATCGGGGATCCCAGGAAAATCCCATGAGGAATCAGGGAAATCCCAGCAGGAATCTCAGGGGGATTTCCAGGAAATCCCAAGGAAAACCCCATCAGGAATCCCAGAGGGATTTCCAGGGAATCCCAGGGAAAACCCCATCGGGGATCCCAGGAAAATCCCATGGGGAATCCCAGGGAAAACCCCATCGGGGATCCCAGGAAAATCCCACGAGGAATCAGGAAAATCCCACGGGGAATCAGGGAAATCCCATGGAATGTCAGGGGGATTTCCAGGGAATCCCAGGGAAAACCCCATCGGGAATCCCAGGGGGGTTTTCCAGGGAATCCCAGGGGGTTTCGGGGCGCTCCCGGCCCCGTTCCCAGGCTTTTCCCGGTTTTTGGGGTCCCTGTCCCACCTGCATGCGCAGGTCCAGGCGGGATCGCCGCTCCCACCACTCCTGGCGCTCGGTGCAGGCGTTGGCCTCGCGCTGCTCCCGCTGGATCCGCTCGAATTCCCGGAGGATCCCGCTCAGGGGGGCCTGGAGGGGACACGAGGGGCTTGGGATCCCCGGCCCGGCACGGGGAGGGGTTTGGGATCCCAACCCCTGGAATGGGGAGAGGATGAGGATGGATTTGGGATCCCAGTCCCTGGAATGGGAGAGGAGGAGAAGGGATTTGGGATCCCAGTCCCTGGAACTGCAGGTGTCCCCCAGCCAAGGATAAGGATGAAGATGAGGATAAGGATGAAGATGAAGGCGAGGATGAGGATGAAGATGAAGATGAGGATAAGGATGATGATGAAGAGGAGGATGAAGATGAGGATAAGGACGAAGACAAGGATAAGGAAAAGGATGAGGATGAAGATGAGGATGAGGATAAGGATGAAGATGAGGATAAGGATGAGGATGAAGATGAGGATAAGAATGAGGATGAAGACGAGGATGAGGATGATGATGATGAAGAGGAGACTGAAGATGAGGACAAATATGAAGATGAGGATAAGGATGAAGATGAGAATAAGAATGAGGACGAAGAGGAGGATGAAGAAGGAGATGAGGATAAGGATGAGGATGATGATGAAGCGGAGGATGAGGAGGAGGAGGAGGCTGACCTGGCAGCGCTCGGTGGCGATGCGCACGCTGACGGGCTCCGCGCCGCGCTCCAGCCGCGTCAGCAGCAGCGTGTCCCCGAGGGCGCCGGGGGTGGCACTGACCAGGGACAGCTGGCACACGGTGACACCTGCGGGGACACCACAAAGTTGGGGCTTCTCCTGGAATCCCACCCCAAGGAACCCCCAAAGCTTCCCAGACCTGAATCCCAACCATTCCAACCATTCCCACCCCATCCAAGGCCACCTCCGTGTCCCCAGGCCTGGCACTGACCAGGGACAGCTGGCACACGGTGACACCTGCGGGGACACCCCAAAGTTCCACCCCATGGAGCCCCCAGAGCTTCCCAGACCTGAATCCCAACCATTCCCACCCCATCCCAACCATTCCCACCCCATCCCAACCATTCCCAACCCATTTGAGGCCACCAAATACCCAAACTGGGAATTGGGGATTTCCCAATCCCCAAACCGGGAATTTGGGATTCCCCAACCCCTGGATGTGGAATTTGGGATTTCCCAGTCCCCAAACTGGGAATTGGGGATTTTATCCCCAAACTGGGAATTTGGGATTTCCCAATCCCCGGACTGGGAATTTGGGATTTCCCAATCCCCAAACAGGGAATTTGGGATTTCCCAGTCCCCGGACTGGGAATCTGGGATTTCCCAACCCCTGGATGGGGAATTTGGGATTTCATCCTCAAACTGGAAATCTGTGATTTCCCAATCCCCACCCTGGGAATTCGGGATTTCTGAATCCCTGGATGTTGAATTTGGGCTTTCCCAGTCCCCAAACTGGGAATCTGGGATCTCCCAGCCCGGGATCCCAGCACTGACCGCTGGGAATCTTCTGGAGCTGCTCCCGGAACCGCTCCCGCTCCGCCGGCCCCAAACCCGCGGAGCTGAACTGGAAAAGCTCCTCCAGCTGGGCCAGGTGCGACTGGGAATCCTCGGAATTCCGGGAATCCTGGGAATTTTGGGAATCCCGGGAATTCTGGGAACCCTGGGAATTCAGGGACAGGCCCTGGAGCTGGTCCGAGATGTCCCCCCTGGCTGCTGCTGCTGCTTTCCTCTTCTTCCTGTGGGGTCATCCCAAAATCCCTTGGGATGGGGCCAGGATGGGATTTGGGGATGGAGGGAGGGGATATGGGATGGGGGATGGGGGATGTGGGATATGGGATGGGAATAGGGGATATGGGATGGGGGATATGGGATAAGTCCCTTCCCCAAAGGGGAATCCCCAGTGGGGACATTGGGATGGGGACACTGGGAATGGGGACATGGGATGGGGACACTGGGACAGGGACACTGGGGAAGGGATGGGGACACTGGGAAAGGATGGGGACACTGGACAGGGCCACTGGGTGGGATGGGGACACTGGGACGGGGACACTGGGGAAGGGAGGGGGACACTGGGAAAGGATGGGGACACTGGACAGGGCCACTGGGATGGGGACACTGGGAAGGGGACACTGGATGGGGACATTGGAAAGGGACGGGGACACTGGGACAGGGACACTGGGATGGGGACACTGGACAGGGCCACTGGGATGGGGACACTGGGAGGGGACAGAGCACAGGGGCCGGAAGGTGCCACCCGGAGGTGCCCCGTGACCCACCGTGCCCTGGCGTGGACGATGGCCAGCAGCTGGTGGCGCAGGGTGACGCCCAGGGACTCGGCCAGCAGCGCCGCGGTGGCCAGCGGGTCCCTGTCCCCCAGGGCCAGGGCCAGCAGCTGGCACAGCTGCCCGTAGAGAGAGCCCGGCGGGAAGTGCCCGACCCAGGCCAGCGCCTCGGCCAGCAGCGCCCGCACCGCGGCCACCGAGGGGTCACCTGGGGACAGAGAGGGGTCAGCTGGGGGGACAGCGGCCACCGAGGGGTCAGCTGGGGACAGGGGACAGAGAGGGGTCAGCTGGGGACAGGGGACAGAGGGGTCAGTTGGGGGGACAGCGGCCACCGAGGGGTCACCTGGGGACAGGGGACAGAGAGGGGTCAGCTGGGGACAGAGGGGACAGAGAGGGGTCACCTGGGGACAGGGGACAGAAGAGTCAGCTGGGGACAGGGGACAGAGAGGGGTCAGCTGGGGGGAGAGAGGGGTCACCTGGGGGACAGAGGGGACACAGGGGTCAGCTGGGGGACAGGGGACAGAGGGGTCACCTGGGGACAGGGGACAGAAGAGTCAGCTGGGGACAGGGGACAGAGAGGGGTCAGCTGGGGACAGAGGGGTCTGAGAGGGGTCAGCTGGGGGCAGGGGACAGAGGGGACAGAGAGGGGTCACCTGGGGACAGGGGACAGAAGAGTCAGCTGGGGACAGGGGACAGAGAGGGGTCAGCTGGGGACAGAGGGGTCTGAGAGGGGTCAGGGGGTCACCTGGGGACAGGGGACAGAGGGGTCAGCTGGGGGGAGAGAGGGGTCACCTGGGGGACAGAGGGGACACAGGGGTCAGCTGGGGGACAGGGGACAGAGGGGTCACCTGGGGGGACAGAGGGGTCAGTTGGGGGGACAGCGGCCACCGAGGGGTCACCTGGGGACAGGGGACAGAGGGGTCAGAGAGGGGTCAGCTGGGGGGACAGAAGTCACAGAGGTCAGTGGGGACAGGGGTCAGTGGGGACAGGAAGGGTCAGGACAGGAGGGACAAAGTTTGGGGGCAAAAAAGGGAAAGTTTGGGGAAAGGAAAAGTCTGGGAGGAAAAGTTCTGGGGAAGGAAAGAAAATTTGGGGAAGGGAGGAAAAATTTGGGGAAGGGAAAAGTTCAGGAGAGGAAACTCCTGAGAAAAAGAAGGAAAATGCCTGGAAAAGGAAGGAAAACCCCTGGAGAAGTCAGGCCATGCCCAGCTGAGCCCCAAAATCCCAAAATCCCCCAAATCCCAGGTGCTCACCGGGCTGGGACCCCTCTGGATTTGGGGGATCCCCCTTGTCCCCCATTCCTGGGATTTCCTTGCTGGCCCCACCTGCAAAAGATGGGGCAGTTTTGGGGTCAAAAAAGGCAATTTTGGGGTCACCAAGATGAAACCCCCTCCCCAAAATCCCCCAAACTCACCTGGGGGCGGCGGGGGGAGCTCGAAGCTCATCTCCTCCTCCTCCTCCTCCTCTTCCTCCTCCACGGCCCTCAGGGGGTCCCGCTCCTCAATCCCAGAAAATTCCCAGTTCCTCTTTTCCTCCAAAATTCCACTTTGGGGGGTCCCCCTCTCCTTCTTCTCCCGGGGACCCCCAGCCCGGCGGGGACCCCTGTTCTCCTTCTTCTCCAGAGATTTTTGGGATTTGCCCTTTTCCTTCTTTTCCACATTTTCCACGTTGTCATTTTTCGTTTTTTCCACATTTTCCGTTTTGGGATTTCCCCTTTTCCCCACGTTTTCCATTTTGGGATTTCCCCTTTTTCCCCCGTTTTCCACTTTGGGATTTCCCATTTTTTCCGCATTTTCCATTTTGGGATTTCCCCTTTTCCCCACGTTTTCCATTTTGGGATTTCCCATTTTTTCCACGTTTTCCACTTTGGGATTTCCCATTTTTTCCACACTTTCCACTTTGCCGTTTCCCCTTCTTTCCCTCTTTTCCAGAGCTGTTTGTGGGATGTCATTTTCCTTCTTTTCCACATTTTCCACGTGGTTGATGCCCCTTTTTTCCCTCTTTTTGGGGGTCCCCAGCTCCTTGCGGGGCCGCCCCCGCCGGGGCCGAGCTGCAATTCCTGGAGAATTCCTGGGGGATTTTTGGGGCTGGACCCTCCTCTGGGCACAGGAACGTTTCTGGGTGCTTTTGGGGGGATCTGGGGGAATTTGGGGTTCCTCAGAGTCGCTGTCACTGAATGTCACCTGAAAAAGGGGGGGGGGGAAATGGGTTCAACCCAAAATTTTAATCCCAAAATTTTTCCTCACCTTCCCAAAGTTTCACCCACGCCACCAAATCTTCCCACTAAAATTTTCCTTCCTTTCCCAAAATTTCCTGTCCCCAAAATGTTCCCCCACAAACGTTTTCTGCCCCCCCAAATTTTCCTCCCCTTCCCAAATCCTTTTTCCCCCCAATAATTTCCTCCCAAAATTTTTCTTCCCCAAACTCCCCCCACCCCTCCCCAAATTTCCCTTCCCAAACTTTCCCTCTCACCAATTTCCGCCCCTCAAATTTCCCTTCCCAAATTTCCCCTCCTCCCAATTTTCCCACCAAATTTCCATCCCAAATTTCCCTTCCCAAACTTTTCCCCCCAAATTTTCCCTCCCCAAACTTTGCCTCCTCCTGATTTCTCCTCCAAATTTCCCATCTCAAATTTCCCTTCCCAAACTTTTTCCCCCCAAAGTTTTCCCTCCCCAAACTTTTCCCCCAGTTTTCCCTCCCCAAATTTCCCTCCCCAAACTTTTCCCTCCCCAAATTTGCCTTCCCAAACGTTTCCCTCCCCAAACTTTTCCCCCCAAAGTTTTCCCTCCACAAATTCCCCCCCAAATTTTTTCCTCCCCAAACTTTTTCTCCTCCCGATTTCCCCCCAGATTTCCCTTCCCAAACTTTTCCCCCCAGTTTTCCCCCCCCAGATTTCCCTTCCCAAACTTTTCCCCCAAACTTTCCCCCCCCAGGCCCGGGCTCACCCTGATGCGGGACTTGACCCTTCCTGGCATTTTGGGGGCCCTGCGGAGCCGGGAGCTGCCCCCGGGCGGGGAGGGCTCCTCGCTGAAGATGGTGAAGGGGGTCCTGGGCCCCCCCAGCAGCGCTTTTGGGGGCACCCCCGATTTGGGGTGAGGGGTGCAGGGCCCCCCCGGCCGCAGGACAATGGGGGGGACCTCGGGGTCTGAGTCCCCCAGGGCGAAGACGTCCCCAAATTTGGGGGGCTTCACTTTTGGGGTCTTCCCCGCCTTGGCTTTGGGGGCTTTGGCTTTTTGGGGTCCGGTTTTGGGCGGGGCTTTGGGGGTTTTTTGGGGTTTTGGGGGGTTTGGGGTGGGTGGGGGACGGGGGGTCCAGGCCTGGGCCAGGATGTCATCCATGGAGTGGCCGAGGGCGGCGGCCACGCGGCCGAGGGTGGCCACGGCTTTGGCCAGCAGCAGAGTGGCCACTGCCACCCCCAGGCCGGCCACGGGGGGGCTTTGGGACCCCAGGAGGGTCAGCCCCCGCTCCAGCTCCTCATCCCAAACTGGGGGGCACTGGGATGCACTGGCCAGGCTCTGCAGGGCCAGCGTGGAGTAGCCAGTGGCCACCAGCTCAGCCAGTGGGCCCAGGGTGCTGTCCCCAGGAGGGTCCCCAACCCCAAAGGTGTCCCCATTCCTGATGGTGCCCCCATTCCCAGCGGGATCCCTGTCCCTGGAGTGATCCCACAGGTCCCTGTCCCCAAGGGTGTCCCCATCCCCAGGAAGGTCCCTGTTCCCAGGAATGTCCCCATCTCTGATGGTGTCCCCGTTCCTGGAGAGGTCCTGCAGGCTCCTGTCCCCAAGGGTGTCCCTGCTCCCAGAGGGGTCCCTGTCCCTGATGGTGTCCCCAATCCCAGAGGGGTCCTGCAGAGCCCTGTCCTTGTCCCTGCTGATGTCCCCAATCCCAGAGGGGTCTGACAGACTCCTGTCCCTGACAATGTCCCCATTCCCAGGAATTCCCTTATCCCTGACCACGTCCCCATCCCCAGAGGGGTCCTGCAGGCTCCTGTCCCTGTCGATGTCCCCAATCCCAGGAATTCCCTTATCCTTGGTGCTGTCCCCAATGCCAGGAGCTCCCCCATCCCCGCCGATGTCCCCAATCCCAGAGGGGTCTGGCAGGCTGATGTCCCTGTCCCCGCCGATGTCCCCAATCCCAGAGGGGTCTGGCAGACTCCTGTCCCTGTCCCTGCCGATGTCCCCATCCCCAGAGGGGCCCTGCAGGCTCCCGTCCCCATCCCCAGGAGTCCCCCCAGCCCTCCCGCTGCCCCCAGCCCCCGGGCCCTGCCCCGTGCCCCCCAGCTCCCGCGCCAGGCGCGTGCCGGCGCTGCCACAGCGTGCCAGCACCGCCCTGAGCAGGGCCAGCCCCGGTGCCACCTCGCCGGCCAGCAGCCGCGCCCGCGCCTGTGCCAGGAGCCAGCGCAGCGCCAGCGCCAGCAGCGCGGGGTCGCGGCAGAAGGAGCAGGGACACGCCGAGGGGTGGCACAGCAATTCCAGGCTCCTCCAGGCTTTGCCTCCCTTCAGCTCCGGCGAGGCCGTGAGGGCGTCCGGCGGCTCCGGGAGCGCGGCCGGAGCCAGGGCGGCCAGCGAGGGACCCTGCAGGAACTCCTCGTCCTCCTCCCCGCCAGGAACGGCGTCGGGAACGGCGTCCTGAGGTTTCCTCCTCGCCACGTGGCCCTTCCGGAGCTGGATCTTGGCCCGGCGTCGCGGAGGGTCCCGGCGGGGTTTGGGTTCTGCAATGGGAGGTCAGCAAGGATTTGGGGTTTGGAGGCTTGTGGGGAATGATTCCCAGAGGGGTTTGGGCTCTGGAGGGGAGGGAAGGGATGTTTGGGGTCGTGTTCCTAAAGGGATTTAACCCTGAAAGGGATGTTTGGGGTTGTGTTCCTAAAGGGATTTAACCCTGAAAGGGATGTTTGGGGTTCTCTTCCCAAAGGGATTTAACCCTGGACAGGATGGAAGGGATGTTTGGGGTTCTCTTTAACCCTGGAGGGGAAGGAAGGGATGTTTGGGGTTGTGTTCCTAAAGGGATTTAACTCTGGAGGGGAGGGAAGGGATAATTTGGGATTTTCCAGCCCAATGAAGGGTCCAAAACACTTGGATCCTGTCCGAGCTTGATCCTTCCCCCAGCCTCAAACTGGGATCACTGGGATTTCCCCCATTCCCAGACTGGGATTTCCCCTGTTCCCAGACTGGGATCACTGGGATTTCCCCCACTGGGATCTCTGGGATCTCCCCCGTTCCCAGACTGGGATCACTGGGATTTCCCCCACTGGGATCTCTGGGATTCCCCGTCCCAGTCTCACCAGTCGGTGGCTGCAGCAGGAACTGGGCGTGCTGCAGGTGGGACAGGCTCAGCTCCAGCTCCCCCTGCTGCAGCTCCAGCTGGGACTGCAGCACCAGGAACCACGTGCACCTGTGGGAAACGGGAAAAAATGGGGAAAACGGGGAAAAAATGGGGAAAACAGGGAAAAAACGGGGGGGAAAAACCCCTCAGAGGCCACCAGAGCTGGGAGGGGGTGGGAATGAGCTCCTGCCCTGCCTGGGATGCTCACTCAGCTCCTGGCCCACCATTCCTAAAGGATCCCAACCCCAACCCCAATGATCCCAATGACCCCATTCCCAATCCCAATGATCCCATTCCCAATCCCAATGACCCCATTCCCAATCCCAATGACCCCAATGATGTCATTCCCAATCCCAATGACTGCAATCACCCAAATGATCCCAATGACCCCAAACCCAACCCCAGTGACCCCAAACCCAACCCTAATGACCCCAAATCCAATCCCAGTGACCTAAACCCAATCCCAATGACCCCAACCCCAATGACCCAAACCCAACCCCAATGATCCCAATCCCAACCCCAGTGACCCCAAACCCAATCCCAATGACCCCAAACCCCACCCCAATGACCCCAAACCCAACCCAAGCACCCCCAAGACCCACCCTAATGACCCCAAATCCAATCCCAGTGACCTAAACCCAATCCCAATGACCCCAACCCCAATGACCCAAACCCAACCCCAATGATCCCAATCCCAACCCCAGTGACCCCAAACCCAACCCTAATGACCCCAAATCCAATCCCAGTGACCTAAACCCAATCCCAATGACCCCAACCCCAATGACCCAAACCCAACCCCAATGATCCCAATCCCAACCCCAGTGACCCCAAACCCAACCCTAATGACCCCAAATCCAATCCCAGTGACCTAAACCCAATCCCAATGACCCCAACCCCAATGACCCAAACCCAACCCCAATGATCCCAATCCCAACCCCAGTGACCCCAAACCCAACCCTAATGACCCCAAATCCAATCCCAGTGACCTAAACCCAATCCCAATGACCCCAACCCCAATGACCCAAACCCAACCCCAATGATCCCAATCCCAACCCCAGTGACCCCAAACCCAACCCTAATGACCCCAAATCCAATCCCAGTGACCTAAACCCAATCCCAATGACCCCAACCCCAATGACCCAAACCCAACCCCAATGATCCCAATCCCAACCCCAGTGACCCCAAACCCAACCCTAATGACCCCAAATCCAATCCCAGTGACCTAAACCCAATCCCAATGACCCCAACCCCAATGACCCAAACCCAACCCCAATGATCCCAATCCCAACCCCAGTGACCCCAAACCCAACCCTAATGACCCCAAATCCAATCCCAGTGACCTAAACCCAATCCCAATGACCCCAACCCCAATGACCCAAACCCAACCCCAATGATCCCAATCCCAACCCCAGTGACCCCAAACCCAATCCCAATGACCCCAAACCCCACCCCAATGACCCCAAACCCAACCCCAGTGACCCCAGTGACCCCAAACCCAACCCAAATGACCCCAAACCCCACCCCAATGACCCAAACCCAATCCCAGTGACCCCAGTGACCCCAAACCCAATCCCAATGACCCAAACCCCACCGCAATGACCCCAAACCCAGCACTGACCAGCGGGCGGCCTGCAGGTGTCCGGCCAGGGTCAGCCCCTCAATGCTGGTCACCATTCCCCAGTGACCCCAGTGACCCCAAACCCAGCCCCAGTGACCCCAATGACCCCAAACCCCCCCGCAATGACCCCAAACCCAGCACTGACCAGCGGGCGGCCTGCAGGTGTCCGGCCAGGGTCAGCCCCTCGCTGCAGAAGGCCCTGGCCTGGCACAGGACCTCGCAGTGGCCCAGCAGCGTCACCAGGCGCTGGCAGCAGCCCAGGGTGTCCCCCAGCACCTGCCACTTGTGCACCAGCGCCAGGCCTGGGGACAGCGGGGTGGCACTGGGGACACTGGGAGAGCCCTGGGGTGGGGAGGGGTCCCGGGGAGATGGGATGGGGAGGGGTCCCGGGGAGATGGATGGGGAGGGGTCCCGGGGAGATGGGATGGGGAGGGGTCCCGGGGAGATGGAGCCATTCCCAAGGCTCCTGGACCTTCCCATGGAGTTCAGCTCATTCCAAGAGATCCCAACCCCCCCTGAGGGACCCCCAGCCCATCCCAGGGACCCCAAACCCATCCCATCCCATTCCAGAGGCTCCCAGGGACCCCAGTCCCATTCCAGGTACTCCAAACCCATTCCCATCCCATCCCAATGACCCCAATCCCATCCCAGTAACCCCGATCCCACCCCAATGACCCCGATCCCACCCCAGTGACCCCGATCCCACCCCAGTGACCCCAGTGACCCCGATCCCACCCCGGTGACCCCAATCCCACCCCGGTGCTGACCGCAGTCGGGGCCGGGCTCCTCGGGCGGGCGGCTCCGGGCGCTGCCCAGGACGTCGCTGCCCACCAGGAACACCAGGACGCTCCTCAGCAGCTTCTGTGCCTCCAGCAGGGCCACCTTGGGGCTGCTCCAGCCTGGAATGCCGGGGCATCAGCACAGGGCACCCCCCGCCCTTCCTCCTCCTCCTCCTCCTCACAGCAAAGCTCTGGATCCCGACTCACCCCGTCCCTTCCTCCTCATCCCAAATCCCTTCTTCCTTCTCCTCTCCAAACTCCTTCTTCTTCTTCCTCCTCCTCATCCCCAAAACTCCTCCGTGCTTCTCTCCAGCCCTAAATTCCCTTCCTCTTCCTCCCCCATCCCAAAACTCCCTCGCTCTTCCTCCTCCTTATCCTCAAAACCCCTCCCCTCCTCCTCCTCATCCCAAACCCTCTCCCTCTTCATCCCAAACTCTTTCCCTCTTCCTCCTCCTCATCCCTAAACTTTCTCCTTCTTCCTCCTCACCCCAAGCCCTCTCCCCCTTCCTTGTCATCCCAAACCCTCCTCTCCCTCCTCATCCCAAACCCTTCTCTCCCTCTTCCTCCTCCTCCCAAACCCTCTCCCTCTTCCTCCTCACCCCAAACTCTGTCCTTCCTCCTCCTCATTCCTAACTCTCTCCTTTCTTCCTCCTCCTCACCCCAAACCCTCTCCCTCTTCCTCCTCATCCCAAACTTTTTCCCTTCCTCCTCATCCCAAACTCTCTCCCTCTTCCTCCTCACCCCAAACTCTGTCCTTCCTCCTCCTCATTCCTAACTCTCTCCCTCTCCCTCCTCCTCACCCCAAACCCTCTCCCTCCCCAGCCCACACCCTCTCCCCATCCCTGCTCCCGCCCAGCCCCCCTGGGGTGGATTTCCCCCTCCCCAGCCCCGTTCCCTGCCCCGTTCCCACCGTGCTGCCGGAGCTGCTGGCGCAGCGGCGCCGCCAGGAGCGCCGGGGGCAGCTCCAGGAACGCGGCCACCAGCTGCAGCCGCTGCGCCCGGGCCAGGTACCAGCCCCTGGTGGCCCTCTGGGCACACGGCTCCCTCAGGGCCTCCAGCAGCAGGGCCACGCCCTCATCCACCTGGAAAAAGGGGAAAAAATGGGAAATATTGGGAAAAATGGCATTTGGGATCACGGGCGTGATCCCAACCCAATCCCAATCCTTTTATCCCGTCCCGATCCCATCATCCCAGTCCTTTTATCCCATTGCTCCATCCCAATCCCATTCCAGCAGCAGGGCCACACCCTGATCCGCCTGGAAAAAGGGGGAAAAATGGGGAAAAATGGGATTTGGGGTCATGGGGGTGATCCCATCCCAATCCTGTTCCAGCAACAGGGCCACACCCTCATCCACCTGGAAAAGGGGAAAAAATGGGAAATATTGGGAAAAATGGCATTTGGGATCACGGGCGTGATCCCAACCCAATCCCAATCCTTTTATCCCGTCCCGATCCCATCATCCCAGTCCTTTTATCCCATTGCTCCATCCCAATCCCATTCCAGCAGCAGGGCCACACCCTGATCCGCCTGGAAAAAGGGGGAAAAATGGGGAAAAATGGGATTTGGGGTCATGGGGGTGATCCCATCCCAATCCTGTTCCAGCAACAGGGCCACACCCTCATCCACCTGGAAAAGGGGAAAAAATGGGAAATATTGGGAAAAATGGCATTTGGGATCACGGGCGTGATCCCAACCCAATCCCAATCCTTTTATCCCGTCCCGATCCCATCATCCCAGTCCTTTTATCCCATTGCTCCATCCCAATCCCATTCCAGCAGCAGGGCCACACCCTGATCCGCCTGGAAAAAGGGGGAAAAATGGGGAAAAATGGGATTTGGGGTCATGGGGGTGATCCCATCCCAATCCTGTTCCAGCAACAGGGCCACACCCTCATCCACCTGGAAAAGGGGAAAAAATGGGAAATATTGGGAAAAATGGCATTTGGGATCACGGGCGTGATCCCAACCTAATCCCAATCCTTTTATCCCATCCCAATCCTTTTGTCCCATCCCAATCCCATCATCCCAGTGATTTCATCCCATCCCAGCCCTTTTATCCCATCCCGATTCCATCCCATTCCAAATCCTTTATCCCATCCCAATGATTTTATCCCATCCCAGCCCTTTTATCCCATTCCAATTCCATCCCATTCCCAATCCCAGCCCTTTTATCCCATCCCAATTCCTCCCATCCCAATCCTTTTATCCCATCCCAATTCCCTCCCATTCCCAATCCCAACCCTTTTATCCCATCCCAATTCCATCCCATTCCCAATCCCGTAATTCCAGTCCTTTTATCCCATCCCAATTCTCCCCCATTCCCAATCCCAGCCCTTTTATCCCATCCCAATTCTCTCCCATTCCCAATCCCAGCCCTTTTATCCCATCCCAATTCTCTCCCATTCCCAATCCCAGCCCTTTTATCCCATCCCAATTCCATCCCATTCCCAATCCCGTAATTCCAGTCCTTTTATCCCATCCCAATTCTCTCCCATTCCCAATCCCAGCCCTTTTATCCCATCCCGATTCCATCCCATTCCCATTCCCAGCCCTTTATTCCCATTCCCAATCCCAGTCCTTTTATCCCACCCCAATCCCCTTCCAGCAGCAGGACCACACCCTGCTCCACCTGGAAAAACCAGGATTTAGGATCACCCCATCCCACACCCCTTCCCCCAAATCCCCCACCCCACAATTCCCTATTTTTTTTTAGGAAATTCCCAATTTTTGCCTTTTTCTGGAGGCAGCAGAGGTGGCTGCGCAGCAGGAGCCGGGAATGGCGCAGGAGCAGCCGGGAATCCTCGCTGCCCTCGTCCTGCCCCAGGCACAATTCCAGCTCCTCCAGGAAAACCTGGGAATGCCACGCCTGGATCAGCACCTGCACCCCAAACCCCACCCTGGGGGGAGGATTTTCCCAGGATTTTTGGGATTTTCACGGGATTTTGGGGATTTTATAAGGATTTTTGGGATTTTCCCAGGATTTTTGGGATTTTCACGGGATTTTGGGGATTTTATAAGGATTTTTGGGATTTTGGGACACCCACAGTTCCCGGGGTGTCCCAAACCCACTGAAATCCTTTTCCTGGGGTTTTCAGGATTCCTGGAGTTCCCCAGTTCCCTGAAGTCCTTCCTGGGGGTGATTTTGCTGGGATTTTGGGAATTCTGGAATTCCCCCCATCCTGAGGGTTATTCCCACATTTCCCTGGGTTTTGGAAGGACATTTCCAAATAATTTCCCTGGATTTCCGTGGGTTTTGGAAGGACATTGCCAGATTTCCCTGGGACCGGGAAGGACATTCCCAGATTTCCCCAGATTTGGGAAGGACATTCCCAGATTTCCCCGGATTTGGGAAGGACATTCCCAGATTTCCCAGGTTCCCCAGGATTTAGGAAGGACATTCCCATATTTCCCAGGATTTGGGAAGGACATTCCCCTACTTCCCAGGACTCCCAGGATTTGGGAAGGACACTCCCAGCTGTACCTGGGCCCGGGCCGGGCAGCGCAGCCCCAGCAGGATTTCCCGGGTTGGGAAGGACATTCCCCAGGATTTGGGAAGGACATTCCCCTATTTCCCAGGATTTCAGAAGGACATTCCCACATTTCCCAGGACTCCCAGGATTTGGGAAGGACATTCCCATATTCCCCAGGATTTGGGAAGGACATTCCCAGATTCCCCAGGATTTCAGAAGGACATTCCCAATATTCCCAGGATTTCAGAAGGACATTCCCAGATCCCCCAGGATTTCAGAAGGACATTCCCACATTTCCCAGGACTCCCAGCCGTACCTGGGCCCGGGCCGGGCAGCTTCATACACCCCAGAAAAGCTCTTCACTGAAGCTTCCCTCCCAGGATTTAGGAAGGACATTCCCAATATTCCCAGGATTTCAGAAGGACATTCCCAGATCCCCCAGGATTTCAGAAGGACATTCCCACATTTCCCAGGACTCCCAGCCGTACCTGGGCCCGGGCCGGGCAGCGCAGCCCCAGCAGGACGCGGCTCAGCCGGCACAGGGCGTCGGCCGCTCCCGGGCCGTCCCCGAGGCGGCGGCACAGCGAGCGCAGCAGCAGGAGGCTCTCCAGGGCCTGCACGGGCTGGGAAGGGGAAAATCCACGGATAAACCCCCCAAAGGCAGCCCAGGGGTCCTGGCAAAAGCTCTCCCTGCTCTTCCTCATCCCAAATTCCCCCTTCCTCCTCCTCATCCCCAGGACGCCTCATTCCTTCTTCTCCTCTTCATCCCAAATTCTCCTCCTCTTCATCCTCCCAAACTTTTTTCTTCTTCTTCCTTATCCTAAACTCTCTCCTTACTCTTCATCATCCCAAAACACTCCTCATCCTCCTCTTCATCCCATTCCTTCCCCCTTCCTCTTCATCCTCCCCAACTTTTTCCCTCTTCTTCCTCATCCCAAACTCTCTCTCCTCTTCATCATCCCAAACCTTTTCCTTTTCCCTCCTCATCCCAAACTCCCTCCTCTTCCTCCTCATCCCAAAACTCCCTCCTTCCTCCTCTCCCACATCCCCAAACTCTTCCCCTCCCTCCTCTTTGTCCCAAATTCCCTCCTTCCTCATCCCAAACTCTCTCTCCTTGTCATCATCCCAAACCTTTTACCTCTCCCTCTTCCTCCTAAACTCCCTCTCTCTTCCTCCTCATCCCAAACTCCCTCCTCTTCCTCCTCATCTCCAAACTCTTTCCCTCCCTCCTCTTTGTCCCAAATTCCCTCCTCCTTCACTCCAAACTCTTTCTGCCTTCCTCCCCACCACCCCAAACCCTGTCCTTCCTCCTCCTCCTCCTCCTCCCAGCCCAGCCCCCCTGGAGCTGGGGCCCACCTTGTCCTGGAGGCGGTAGAGCTCGGCCAGGAGCTGCAGGGAGCTCACGGTCTGCTCCGGGCTGCGCACCTCGGGAACGCCGGCTCCGGCCAGCAGCTCCTTCCACAGGGCAAGGGCTTCATCCAAGGGCTTGGACAGAGCTGGGGGCACACGGGGCTCAGGAAGGAACCCCAAAATGCTGTTCCCAAAGTGGGATAATCCTGGGGAGTCGTTCTCAGCCTGCCAGGGTCTTGTGCTTCCCAGAAAATCTCATCAGTGGGGCTGGAAAGGCTCTTCCCAATCCACCGGCATCCCAAAAAATCCCTTCTCAATCCATCAGGGCTCCAAAAACCCCTTCCCAACCTTCCAGAATCCTATAAGAGCTCTTCCCAACCTACCATATTCCCAAAAAAACTCTTCCCAACCTTCCAGGATCCCTAAAAACTTCTTCCTGCCCCTTCAGGGACTTCATCCGTCCTACAAAACACCTTCCCACCCCTCCAGGGTCTTCATCCATTCCACAAAACCCCCTCACTCACCCCAAAATCCCCTTCCCACCCCTCCAGGGTCCTCATCCATCCCACAAAACCTCTTCCCATCCTTCCAGGACCCTCATCCATCCCACAGAACCTCCTCACTCACCCCAAAATCTCCTTCCCACCCATCCAGGACTCCCACCCATCCCAAAAATCCCCTTCCCACCACTCCAGGGTCTTCATCCATCCCACAAAATCCCCTTCCCATCCTTCCAGGGTCTTCATACACCCCAGAAAAGCTCTTCACTCACCCCAAAATCCCCTTCCCACCACTCCAGGACCCTCATCCATCTCACAAAACCTCTTCCCATCCTTCCAGGGTCCTTATCCATTCCACAAAACCTCCTCACTCACCCCAAAATCCCCTTCCCATCCCTCTAGGACTCCCACCCATCCCACAAATCCCCTTCCCACCCTTCCAGGACCCTCATCCATCCCACAAAACCTATTCCCATCCCTTCCAGGACCCTCATCCATCCCACAAAACCTCCTCACTCAGCCCAAAATCCCCTTCCCATCCTTCCAGGGTCTTCATACACCCCAGAAAAGCTCTCCCCTCACTCCAAAATCCCCTCCCAGCCCTGCAGGACCCCGCTCACCGCTCTCGGAGCTGAGGCTGCAGCGGATCCCGTCCCGCGCCTCCGGCCGCTCTCCCTCGGGATCCCGATCCCAGCCCGGCTCCGGGGCCCGGCCCCGCCCGCGCCGCTCCCGGGCCACGCTCTGGGAGGGAGGGGAGTTCCAGCAACGCCCGAAATCCCGGGTAAATCGCACCCAGGGAACTCCAGGAATCCCCAAAATCACAAAAATCCCGGGAAAATCGCACTCAGGGAACTCCAGGAATCCCAAAATCCCGAGAAAATCGCACCCAGGGAAATCCAGGAATCCCAAAATCCCAAAAATCCTGGGGAAATCGCCCCCAGGGAACTCCAGGATTTCCCAAAATCCTGGGAAAATCACCCTGGAAAATCTGGGTGTCCCAAAATCCCAGGAAAATCATCCCTGGGATGGGTTTGGGGCACCCAGGGAACTCCAGAACCTCTCTCTTCCTCCTCATCCCAAACTCCCTCCTCTTCCTCCTCATCTCCAAACTCTTTCCCTCCCTCCTCTTTGTCCCAAATTCCCTCCTCCTTCACTCCAAACTCTTTCTGCCTTCCTCCCCACCACCCCAAACCCTGTCCTTCCTCCTCCTCCTCCTCCTCCCAGCCCAGCCCCCCTGGAGCTGGGGCCCACCTTGTCCTGGAGGCGGTAGAGCTCGGCCAGGAGCTGCAGGGAGCTCACGGTCTGCTCCGGGCTGCGCACCTCGGGAACGCCGGCTCCGGCCAGCAGCTCCTTCCACAGGGCAAGGGCTTCATCCAAGGGCTTGGACAGAGCTGGGGGCACACGGGGCTCAGGAAGGAACCCCAAAATGCTGTTCCCAAAGTGGGATAATCCTGGGGAGTCGTTCTCAGCCTGCCAGGGTCTTGTGCTTCCCAGAAAATCTCATCAGTGGGGCTGGAAAGGCTCTTCCCAATCCACCGGCATCCCAAAAAATCCCTTCTCAATCCATCAGGGCTCCAAAAACCCCTTCCCAACCTTCCAGAATCCTATAAGAGCTCTTCCCAACTTACCATATTCCCAAAAAAACTCTTCCCAACCTTCCAGGATCCCTAAAAACTTCTTCCCACCCCTCCAGGGTCTTCATCCATCCCACAAAACCTCTTCCCATCCTTCCAGGACCCTCATCCATCCCACAAAACCTCCTCACTCAGCCCAAAATCCCCTTCCCATCCTTCCAGGGTCTTCATACACCCCAGAAAAGCTCTCCCCTCACTCCAAAATCCCCTCCCAGCCCTGCAGGACCCCGCTCACCGCTCTCGGAGCTGAGGCTGCAGCGGATCCCGTCCCGCGCCTCCGGCCGCTCTCCCTCGGGATCCCGATCCCAGCCCGGCTCCGGGGCCCGGCCCCGCCCGCGCCGCTCCCGGGCCACGCTCTGGGAGGGAGGGGAGTTCCAGCAACGCCCGAAATCCCGGGTAAATCGCACCCAGGGAACTCCAGGAATCCCCAAAATCACAAAAATCCCGGGAAAATCGCACTCAGGGAACTCCAGGAATCCCAAAATCCCGAGAAAATCGCACCCAGGGAAATCCAGGAATCCCAAAATCCCAAAAATCCTGGGGAAATCGCCCCCAGGGAACTCCAGGATTTCCCAAAATCCTGGGAAAATCACCCTGGAAAATCTGGGTGTCCCAAAATCCCAGGAAAATCATCCCTGGGATGGGTTTGGGGCACCCAGGGAACTCCAGAATTCCCCAAATCCCAGGAAAACCCCATCCCACCTTTTCCAGGAGGGCCTCGAGGGTGCAGATGTGGAGCCAGAGCAGGGCCTGGGCGCGCTCGTCCAGGAGCTGATCCCGCATTTGGGAATTGCAGGTTTGGGAATTCCGGGCCAGCGACTCCAGCAGCCTCAGGGCCTCCTGGACGGCGTCCAGGGCGGAGCTGCGGGAACAGGGACTCCCAAAATCCAAGGAATCGACCCCAAAATCAAGGGAACAGCACCCAGAGTCCCAGGGATGGGATAGGGGGATTGGGATGGGGGATTTGGGATAAGGGAAAGGGGATGAGAGATTGAGATGGAGGAATGGGATCAGGACTGGGATGGAGGATTGGGATCAGGATTGGGATCAGGATCAGCACCCACCAGTCGGTGTAGGCGCTGAAGCTGTGGCTGCACAGCAGCTGGGCTGGGATCAGGACTGGGATGGAGGATTGGGATCAGGATTGGGATCAGGACCAGGACCAGGACCAGGACCAGGACCAGGACCAGGACCAGGACCAGGACCAGGACCAGGACCAGGACCAGGACCAGGACCAGGACCTAAAAACTTCTTCCCACCCCTCCAGGGTCTTCATCCATCCCACAAAACCTCTTCCCATCCTTCCAGGACCCTCATCCATCCCACAGAACCTCCTCACTCACCCCAAAATCCTCTTCCCATCCTTCCAGGACCCTCATCCATCCCACAAAACCCCCTCACTCACCCCGAAATCCCCTCCCAGCCCTGCAGGACCCCGCTCACCGCTCTCGGAGCTGAGGCTGCAGCGGATCCCGTCCCGCGCCTCCGGCCGCTCTCCCTCGGGATCCCGATCCCAGCCCGGCTCCGGGGCCCGGCCCCGCCCGCGCCGCTCCCGGGCCACGCTCTGGGAGGGAGGGGAGTTCCAGCAACGCCCGAAATCCCGGGTAAATCGCACCCAGGGAACTCCAGGAATCCCCAAAATCACAAAAATCCTGGGAAAATCGCACTCAGGGAACTCCAGGAATCCCAAAATCCCGAGAAAATCGCACCCAGGGAAATCCAGGAATCCCAAAATCCCAAAAATCCTGGGGAAATCGCCCCCAGGGAACTCCAGGATTTCCCAAAATCCTGGGAAAATCACCCTGGAAAATCTGGGTGTCCCAAAATCCCAGGAAAATCATCCCTGGGATGGGTTTGGGGCACCCAGGGAACTCCAGAACTCCCCAAATCCCAGGAAAATCATCCCTGGGATGGGTTTGGGGCACCCAGGGAACTCCAGAATTCCCCAAATCCCAGGAAAACCCCATCCCACCTTTTCCAGGAGGGCCTCGAGGGTGCAGATGTGGAGCCAGAGCAGGGCCTGGGCGCGCTCGTCCAGGAGCTGATCCCGCATTTGGGAATTGCAGGTTTGGGAATTCCGGGCCAGCGACTCCAGCAGCCTCAGGGCCTCCTGGACGGCGTCCAGGGCGGAGCTGCGGGAACAGGGACTCCCAAAATCCAAGGAATCGACCCCAAAATCAAGGGAACAGCACCCAGAGTCCCAGGGATGGGATAGGGGGATTGGGATGGGGGATTTGGGATAAGGGAAAGGGGATGAGAGATTGAGATGGAGGAATGGGATCAGGACTGGGATGGAGGATTGGGATCAGGATTGGGATCAGGATCAGCATGGGCACTGAAGCTGTGGCTGCACAGGAGCTGGGCTGGGATCAGGATGAGGGTTAGGATGGAGGATCAGGATCGGGATTGGGATCAGGACTGGGATGGAGGATTAGGATCAGGACTGGGATCAGGATTGGGATCAGGACCAGGACCAGGACCAGGACCAGGACCAGCACCCACCAGTCGGTGTAGGCGCTGAAGCTGTGGCTGCACAGCAGCTGGCCCAGCTCCAGCAGCGCCGCCGCCCTGGGCAGGCTCCGGCCGGGGTCCGGCGCTGCCGGGGGGTCCCGGCTGCCCCCCGGCTCCTGCCCTCCCGGGGGGTTCCAGGCTCCCTGGGGGTCCCACAGGCCCAGCAGGTCGCACAGGACGTTGTAGCGCTCGGGCGCCGTGGGGCCCCGCAGGCCTTTGTAGGCGTGCAGCTCGGCCAGCAGCAGCAGCAGCAGCGCGTCCCCGCTCAGGGGCTGCCCGTGGCAGCGCGACTGCGACTGCAGCGCGTCCCGCAGGGTCCTGCCAGCGCCATTGGGATCAGAGCCACAAACAGGGGGGTTTGGGTGGGGTCATGGCATGGGAGGGAGGTCCGACCCCGTTCTGCCTTCCCCTATCCCAGGGGGCTCCTGATTCCCCTCCCAATCCCAGCCCAATCCCATTCCCCCATCCCACTCCAATCCAAATTCCCCCACTCCATTCTCCCCATCCCAATCTCCCCTTCCCACTCCCTTATTCCAATCCCCCATCCCAATCCTGCCACCCCAACCCCCCATCCCATTCCCTGATCCCAAATCCCCAATTCCCCAAATGTCAATGCCAATCCCCAGTCCCAAAACGTCAATCCCAATCCCCACTCCCAAACCCCTGATCCCAAACCCCATTCCCCATTCCCAAATTCCCAATCCCCATTCCCTGATCCCAAATCCCAATCCCCCATCCCAAACCCCAAACCCCATCCCCTCACCGCAGCCTCAGCTCCTCCGCTCCCTGCTTGGCCGCCTCCGTCTTGATCCTGGCCCAGAGCGCCACCGGCTCGGCCACCAGCGAGCCGGGCTGGCCCGGGGTGGCCTGGGGACGCTGGCACTGTGTCCCCTGTCCCCAGGACTGTGTCCCCAGCCCCCAGGAGCATGTCCCCTGTCCCCAGGACTGTGTCCCCAGGGCCAGCAGCCACTGGGCCACCGCGTCCAGGGCGCGCTCCGGCCGGCCGCGGCAGCGCCAGCTCTCCACCTGCAGCCGGAAGCACCTGTGGAGCTGGGGAGGGGGGGCAACGGCAGATCCTCAGGGATCCCAGTACGCCCAGTATGCCCAGTATGCCCAGCGACCCCGGGCTCCACCCCAGGACCCCATCCCAGTACCCCCAATATGCCACCCCAGTACCCCAGCCAGCACTCCCAGTATCCACCTCACTACCCCATCCCATTACCCCCATATTCCACCCCACTACCCCATCCCAGTACTCCCAGTGCCCCATCCCAGCACTCCCAGGGCTCCCAGTGCCCCATCCCAGTACTCCCAGTGCCCCCATTACCCCCATCCCAGTATCTCCAGTACCCCCAGTACCCCCCCTCCCAGTATTCCCAGAACCCACCCCTGCATCCCAGTACTCCCAGTAGCCCATCCCAGTGCCCCCAGTATCCCCCAGCCCAGTTCCCACAGTACCCCATCCCAGTACTCCCAGTGCCCCATCCCAGTACTCCCAGTGCCCCCAGAACCCCACATCCCAGTGCCCCTAGTGCCCCATCCCAGCGCTCCCAGTACCCCCCATCCCAGTACTCCCAGTGCCCCCATCAGCCCATCCCAGTACTCCCAGTGCCCCATCCCAGTACTCCCAGTGCCCCCAGTGCCCCATCCCAGCGCTCCCAGCGTCCTATCAGCCCATCCCAGCGCTCCCAGTGCCCCCATCAGCCCATCCCAGTACTCCCAGTGCCCCATCCCAGTACTCCCAGTGCTCCCAGTGCCCCATCCCAGTACTCCCAGTGCCCCCAGAACCCCACATCCCAGTGCCCCTAGTGCCCCATCCCAGCGCTCCCAGTACCCCCCATCCCAGTACTCCCAGTGCCCCCATCAGCCCATCCCAGTACTCCCAGTGCCCCATCTCAGCACTCCCAGTGCCCCCAGTACCCCATCCCAGCGCTCCCAGTGCCCCCATCAGCCCATCCCAGTACTCCCAGTGCCCCATCCCAGTACTCCCAGTGCTCCCAGTGCCCCATCCCAGCGCTCCCAGTGCTCCCAGTGCCCCATCCCAGCACTCCCAGTGCTCCCAGTGCCCCCAGTACCCGCTCGGGGGTGGCCCCAGGCCAGCCGTAGCCGTGGCCGGCCAGCACCGCCCGGCACAGGGGCTCGCACACGGCTCCGGCCGCTTCCGGAACGTTCCGGCTCTGCCAGGCCTGGCCCAGGCGGAAGGCGGCCGCAGCTGCATCCGGAGGGGACAAAGTGACCAACGGGACAGGGAGGGGACGCTGCAGTGACCCCTCCTCGTCCAGAGCTGATCCCAGCCCCTCGGACACGGAGTGACCCCTGGCCAGCCGGGATAGGGACACCGAGCCACTGACCACTGGGGACACAGGGATGGGGACAGGAGGTGGCACTGACTACTGGGGACGGGGACAGGAGGTGGCACTGACCACTGGGGACACAGGGATGGGAACAGGAGGTGGCACTGACCACTGGGGTCACTGGGGACAGGGACAGGAGGCGGCACTGACCGGTGACATCGAGGAACTTGCCCCTCTCGGCCTCGGGCAGCCCCTCCAGCCCCTCCAGCATCCAGGTGACACTCTGGACACAGCTCGTGGTCACCTGCGCCAGCTCCGGCCACCCCGAGGGCTGCGGGGACACCGCGGGTCAGCCGGGAGCCCTGAGCCACAGGGGACACTGCAGGGCCCCCAGAGCCACAGGGGACACTGCAGGGCCCCCCGAGCCACAGGGGACACGGCAGGGCCCCGCAGCCCCGAATTCCAGCCCCACAGCCCAGGGGAGAAGCTTCCAGAACCCCTCAGTCCCAAATTCCAGCCCCACAGCCCATGGGAGAAGCTTCCAGCACCCCCAGAACCTTTTCAGGGTGACTCAATCCCCAAATTCCAGCCCCACAGCCCAGGGGAGAAGCTTCCAGAACCCCCTCAGGGCATTTCAATCCCAAAATTCCAGCCCCACACCCCCATGGGAGAGGCTCCACCCCAAAATTCCAGCCCCAAATCCCATGGAGTGGCTCCACCCCAAAATTCCAGCCCCAAATCCCACGGAGAGGCTCCCAGCCCCCAGGGATCCGGATCCATGCCTGGCAGCGCTGGAATATTTCGTGGATGGCGTTGGAGAAGAGCTGGAGGCTGTGGAACAGCAGCTGCTTCACCATCACCTGCTCCTGGATGGAGTCAGGAGGGACCTGGGAACGGGAAAAATGGGATTTGGGAATGATCAGAGACCTGGGAATGGGAAAATGGGATTTGGGAATGATGGGAGGGAGCTGGGAATGGGAAAAATGGGATTTGGGAATGGGAAAAATGGGATTTGGGAGAAGGAAAATGGGATTTGGGAATGATGGGAGGGAGCTGGGAATGGGAAAATGGGATTTGGGAATGGGGAAATGGGATTTGGGAATGATGGGAGGGAGCTGAGAATGGGAAAAATGGGATTTGGGAATGATGGGAGGGAGCTGGGAATGGGAAAATGGGATTTGGGAATGGGGAAATGGGATTTGGAAATGATGGGAGTGAGCTGGGGATGGGGAAAATGGGATTTGGGAATGATGGGAGGGAGCTGAGAATGGGAAAAATGGGATTTGGGAATGATGGGAGTGAGCTGGGAATGGGAAAAATGGGATTTGGGAATGATGGGAGGGAGCTGAGAATGGGAAAATGAGATTTTGGGGTCCAGGAAAGCGGAAAAAGGGGATGTGGAGGTTCAGGAACTCCAGGAGCTGCTGCTGGCATGGAGAAAAGTGGGATTTGGGACTCCCTAAGTTCCAGGAGCTGCTGGCAGGGCTGGGAGCAGCACGGAGTGACCCCGAGAGACCCCAGGGAACCCCAGAACTCCTCCTCCTCCTCCTCCTCACCTGGGCCAGCAGCCGCCGCAGCGCCCGCCCGTGGCCCTGGCAGAATGCACAGACCCCGGGCAGCTCCTGGAGGCCGAGGGGCAGCTCCTGGCTCCTCCTGAGCACCTCCCCGAGCTGTGCCAGCACCAGCTGGGAGCTTTCCAGCAGCAGCCGCAGAACCCTTCCGGAACATTCCGCCGCCAGCGCCGCTCCCGCCCGGCTCAGCGCCGGCCCCACGGCCCGCACGCTTCTGGTCAGCACGGCCCGGCTCAGCTGGATCCCGGCTTCCAGCAGCTCCAGAGGGGCTCCCAGAGAATTCCCAGCTCCCAGGAAGGTTCTGGATTCCTCCAGGGCGTCCAGGGCGTCGCGGGGCCGCCGGGCCTTGCAGAGCTGGCGGCAGCGCTCCCGGGTGAGCTCCAGGAAGCACAGGGACTCCTGGAGGCCCGGCGGCTGCGGGGCCTCGTCCCTGAGGGTGTCCAGCAGGAATTCCCGGAGCTGCCTGGCCACGAAGAGCGGGCACGGAGCCCGGTGAGCCTCGTAGAGGGCGGCGGCGGCCGCGGCGTGCTGGGCGCTCTGCGAGGCGAAGAAGGGCGGCTGGAAGGATTCCCGAGGCGACACCTCCCCGTCCCGCGACTCCAGCAGCAGCAGGAAGCGCAGGGCACGGATCCTGGCCGTCAGCACCGCCCTGCCCTCCTCCCGGGGCCGCTCCGGCCCGGCTAGAACGGCCGCGGCTCTCCAAAGAACAGCAAAAGCGCCGGAGGTGACGGCGGCCCAGTCGGCGTCGCGGCGGCCGCGCCGCAGCCGCGCGGGGCATTTCCTGGGGGGAATGGGGGTTTGGGGTCAGGACAGAGCCCCTCAGGGGTTGTTTCCTAGGAAAAGAGGGATTTGGGGTCAGGGCAGAGAGCCTCGAGGGGCATTTCCTGGGGGAAACGGGGTTTGGGGTCAGAGCACAGCTCCCTGACATGAATTTCCGGGGAAAAGAAGGGTTTGGGGTCAGAGCAGAGCCCCTCAGGGGTTGTTTCCTAGGAAAAGAGGGATTTGGGGTCAGGACAGAGACCCTCGAGGGGCATTTCCTGGGGGAAACAGGGGTTGGGGTCAGGGCAGAGCCCCTTGAGGGGCATTTCCTGGGGGGAATGGGGGTTTGGGGTCAGGACAGAGCCCCTCAGGGGTCGTTTCCTAGGAAAAGAGGGGTTTGGGGTCAGAGCAGAGACCCTTGAGGGGCATTTCCTGGGGGAAACAGGGGCTTGGGGTCAGAGTAGGGGATGTTTCCTGGGGGACAGAGGGGTTTGGGGTCAGGACAGAGACCCTTGACATGCATTTCCTGGGAAAAGAGGGATTTCAGGGGTTGTTGCCTGGGGGTCAGAGCAGGGGTCATTTCCTGGGAAAAGAGGGGCTTGGGGTCAGAGCAAAGACTCTCAGGGACATTTCCTGGGAAAAGAAGGAGTCAGAACAAGCTCAGAATCCCCCAGAGGTCCCACAGTCAGATCCAAGGGTTTTACTGGGAAAAGGAGTCAGACCCCAGCCCAGAATTCCCCACAGATCTCCCCACCAGATCCCGAGCTTTTCCTGAGGAAAAGAGGGATCAGAGCCCCAGATCCCGAGGAAAAGAGGGATCAGAGCCCCAGACCCCGAGCTTTTCCTGAGGAAAAGAGGGATCACAGCCCCAGATCCTGAGGAAAAGAGGGATCAGAGCCCCAGATCCCGAGGAAAAGAGGGATCAGAGCCCCAGATCCCGAGCTTTTCCTGAGGAAAAGAGGGATCAGAGCCCCAGATCCCGAGGTTTTCTCAAGGAAAAGCCGGATCCGAGCCCAGCCCCTCCCGGGCTCACCCGGATCTCCTCCAGGCGCTCCTCGATGCCTGCCCAGCCGTCCGTGCTTCCATCCTTTCCTTCTTTCCCTTCTTCTTCGTCCTTCCCGGCCATCCCGGGGGCTTCTCCTGAGGGGCTTCTCTGCGATATGGGGCTGGGAGGCCAAGGGGAGGTGTGGGACCCCCAGAACCCCCCAAAACCCACAGAGCCCCCCCCAGCCGCGCTTCTTTGCCCCCTCAGTGCTCCAGAGCACCCCCAGCCCCAATTCCTGACACCCCAAAGACCCCCAGCCCCAATTCCTGACCCCCCCGAGCCCCCAGCCCCCAACCCCCCCCGGCCCGCCCCCCGCGCTCACGCTGCGCCGCTGCTCCGCCAGGGGGCGGGGCCCGCCGCGCGCCTGTTCAAACCCGGGCCGCAGCCAATCAGCACGCGGCACCGCCCCTCGGCGCCCAATCAGCGCGCGGCTCCGCCCGCCGCGCGGGGGTTCACGGGAGTCGTAGTCCAGGCGCGGCCAAGCGCGTTTTTGCGCGCGTGCGCGGGGCGGGGCGAGGATAAATGTGGGCGGGGTTAGGGGTGGGGGCGTGGCCAGGGTGGGTTTTTTCCCCCCGGTATTTAAGAGGCGCAGCTCCCAGCCGGGGTTACCCTCAAACCCCAAATTGCTTCTCAGGCTCTGCCGTGCCCTGAAAGGACCCTAAAGAAACCCCATAAATACCCTAAAATAGCCCTAATTTTCAAAGCGCCCTTAAAAAGCCCAAAAAACCCTAAAAAATAGGCTCAGAATACCTTTAAAATACCCTAGGTATGAATAAAAAACCCTGGAAAACCAAAAAATTGCCTCAGAATACCTTTAAAATCACCTAGATACTAAAAAAAAAAAAAAAACCAAAAACCTAAAAATAGCCTCAGAATACCCTTAAAATCACCTAGATATAAAAAAAACCCCAAAAAACCCTAAAAATAGCCTCAGAATACCCTTAAAATCACCTAGATATAAAAAAAACCCCCAAAAAACCCTAAAAATACCCTCAGAATACCCTTAAAATACCCCAGGCATAAAGAAAAAACCAAAAATAGCCTCAGAATACCCTTAAAATACCCCAGGTATAACAAAAAAAACCCAGAAAAAACCCAAAATAGCCTCAGAATACCCTTAAAATACCCCAGGTATAAAGAAAAAACCCAGAAAAAACCCAAAAATAGCCTCAAAATACCCTTAAAATACCCCAGGTATAACAAAAAAAACTCAGAAAAAACCAAAAATAGCCTCAGAATACCCTTAAAATACCCCAGGTATAACGAAAAAAACCCAGAAAAAACCCAAAATAGCCTCAGAATACCCTTAAAATACCCCAGGAATAAAGAAAAAAACCCAGAAAAAACCCAAAATAGCCTCAGAATACCCTTAAATCCCCCAGGCGTAAAGAAAGAACTCTCCGGGCGGTCGCGCTCCGCTGACCGGAGCCCGCTGCACGTTCCCGGGGGAAATTCCACAATTCCGGGCCAGGGAAGCAGCAGCGGCTCCGGGGCTCGCTGGGGTTTGCCTCAAATCCCCATTGAAGCCATAAATCAGCAGCTGGACACGCAGGGGGATGAGGAGAAGTGAGCTCTGGGGGAAAAAAACCCAAAATAAAATGGAAATCTGACTTCAGCTCCCCTATTGCACGTGGAATTTCACAGAGCAGAGGGGATCCAGCCCTGGCACGGGCATTCGTTAAGGACTTGGCTGGGTAATAAATGACATTTTTATCATTTTCTGCCCTAGAGGGGCTGGGGAGAGGCTCTGGATTTCCAGCTGAAATCCCACAGCTCCCGCTCCCACCCCGAAATCCTCCCGTTTAATTTAATTTAGGACCCGCTCCCACCCCAAAATCCTCCCCTTTTATTTAGGATCCGTTCCTACCCCAAAATCCTCCCATCTAATTTCATTTAGGATCTGTTCCCACCCCAAAATCCTCCCCTTTTATTTAGGATCCATTCCCAGCCCCAAATCCTCCCATCTAATTTAATTTAGGACCCGTTCCCACCCCAAAATCCTCCCGTTTAATTTAATTTCAGATCCATTCCCACCCCAAAATCCTCCCGTTTAATTTAATTTAGGACCCGTTCCCACCCCAAAATCTTCCCCTTTTCTTTAGGATCCATTCCCACCCCAAATCCTCCCGTTTAATTTAATTTAGGATCTGTTCCCACCCCAAATCCTCCCCTTTTATTTCGGATCCATTCCCACCCCAAATCCTCCCGTTTAATTTAATTTAGGATCCGTTCCCACCCCAGCATCCTCGTGTTTAATTTAGGACCCTGGGGTTAAGAACCCCCCAAATTAATGCCAGCAGCGAGGTTTTTCTGATTAAATTACCTCTGGCCAGCTCCGCAGATCAATTTCAATTTCCCCCGGATTTTTGTGGGGTTTTTTTGGAGGCGGAGGAGGGGGAGGGGGCAGAAAATGAGAAAATCAGCCTTGCAAATTCCTGTAATTATCGTTAAAATAAAAAAACCCGGTGCAAAGGGAGGTCCCTGGAGTGCGGGGAGCAATTCCGGGCTCCTGTGCGAGGCTGGGATGAAATCTGGGAGCAGGGAGGCTCCGGTTTCCCTTTCCCTAATTGCGTTTGTGGGGCGCAGATGGGGCGGCCCCGCTGGAAGGATCAGTGGGGGCTGAGCAGGGACGGGGCGAAGCAGCGCTGCCTCCGTGCTGAGGCATCCATCACTCCACACGGCTTCTACAAGAGACCTTGAAAGAGATTTTAAATATTTTAATATATTTTTTATTTATTTTTTATTTATTTTATTTTCTATTTTTTAATTATTTTTATTTATTTTTTTTTATTTATTTTTTATTTATTTTAATTTGTTTTTTTAGAAATTTGGTTTTTTTAGGATTTTATAAATAGAATCCTATTTATAGCCCAACCTGAATTGTGCAGGGGCCACAGGGAGCAGTGATTTATGGACATGGAAAAAAGCCCACAATGCAGACCCTCCACGCTGAGGGAAGAGCCCTCCAGCCACTCCAGCCCCACAGGGAAGGACCTGGACATTGTTCCAAAAATCCTGGAGTGGTTTGGGGTGGAGGCAGCTCCTGAGCTCATTTTTGGGATTGGGAATAGAACCCAGAGCTGCCCGGAAGAGCCCAGAGTCCCGTTTATAACCTAACCCAAACGTGTCGGGCCCGGGCAGGGGCCACAGGGAGCGGTGATTTATGGACACGGAAAAGGCCCCACAAAGCCGACCCTCCCCACTCGGGGGAAGAGTCCTGAAACCGCCCCAGCCCCACGGGGCGTTGTTCCAACCCTGCTCAAGTATTTGTGTAAAGGTCATTCTGGCAGGTGTCACCCCTGCCTCGCCGCTTGGCGCGTGCGCGGTGCCATTCATGGTGGCATTCCGTGGTGGCATTCCGTGGTGGCATTCCGTGGTGCCATTCCACGGTGCCATTCCATGGTGGCATTCCACAGTGACATTCCATGGTGGCATTCCGTGGTGGCATTCCGTGGTGGCATTCCTTCCATGGTGGCATTCCGTGGTGGCATTCCGTGGTGCCATTCCTTCCATGGTGCCATTCCATGGTGGCATTCCGTGGTGCCATTCCATGGTGCCATTCCGTGGTGCCATTCCATGGTGGCATTCCTTCCATGGTGCCATTCCGTGGTGCCATTCATGGTGGCATTTCCTGGTGCCATTCCGTGGTGCCATTCCATGGTGGCATTCCGTGGTGGCATTCCATGGTGGCATTCCGTGGCGCCATTCCATGGTGCCATTCCATGGTGCCATTCCATGGTGCCATTCCTTCCATGGTGCCATTCCGTGGTGCCATTCCATGGTGCCATTCCATGGTGGCATTCCATGGTGGCATTCCATGGTGCCATTCCATGGTGCCATTCCTTCCATGGTGCCATTCCATGGTGCCATTCCATGGTGCCATTCCTTCCATGGTGCCATTCCGTGGTGCCATTCCATGGTGCCATTCCACGGTGCCATTCCACGGTGCCATTCCTTGGTGCCATTCCATGGCGCCATTCCATGGTGCCATTCCATGGTGGCACACAAGCATGTGGAGGTCCATGGATTGTCCCCTCTTATCCCCAGTAGCACCTACAGAGTTTGGGCTCCTGAGTGTGGGACGAGCTCCACTGACCACCATTTGGGTTCATGGCCAGAGGTTTTGTCTCACCACACTTTGGGTGCAGAAGGACGCGGGGTGGTGATGGGGGCGACACCGCCGGGTTAATTCGATGGCCCTGGAGGGTTTTTCCAGCCTCAATGATTCCACGATCCCATTTGAGAACCAATCTCTGCCTCTTGCATCTTGCCGCACGTCCCTCCGCCCACCAGGACGCCCTGACATGGTCCCTAATCCCCTTCCACCACGAAGAGAGGCCAACCACCTCCATCTCCCCTCTCCCACCTCCAGCCTCTAAGATTTTAATTGAGTGAATTGACCTGGAGTAGTCCATTGAACTCTGCCCGACCTTTTAAACAGCAGGTCAAGGATTTAGCTGTGCAGCGCTGGCCTCCTCCCTCATCTGCTGCTGCTGCTCCTCTCTCAGCGAGCTGCCACCCGCCGACCCTCCGGGGCTGGACCTTTCTGCCGGGCCTTGGCGCGGCCTCCTCCACTCACCAGTGGGCAACCAGGCTCGAGTGCCCAGCTGCCAGGCAGAGACCGTGCTGTGGCTGTCCTGCAGCACCCTCCCTCGGGGAAGGCCACCAGAGCGTCCAGAGCTGTGTCCTCGTCCTCTGCTGGTGGGGAGAAGGCAAAGATGGAGTTGCTGCGGGGGTTCTGTACAGCTTCGGCCTCATCAAGAGTGCTGAGGGTCTTTCAAGGATGATTTTCTCGTTTCTCTGGAGTTTGTAGGTCCAGAGGGACAGCGTTGGGCTCCAGCTGTGCTAGTGAAGCAGAGGGAGGTCACCCCTTTGGAGCGGGTCAGGGTGCAGCCAGAAGGCCCTTCCCAAGGAAATGCTAGCTAGAGGAATCTGGAAGAACCACGCCGAGGTTTATAACGGAAGAATCTAGCAGAACCACGCCGAGGTTTATAACGGAAGAATCTAGAAGAACCACGCTGAGGTTTATAAAAGAAGAAGCCAGAAGAACCAGGCTGAGGGTTATAAAACAGAATTTTTGG